TATCATGATATTTTGGTTATTGTTACACCCCTACATGCCGAAATGATGAAACCCGATCATAAGTGGGATACTGATGTGCATGTAAACACACTCACTGAGGGGCACAGTGATCTCCAAAAAGGTGTGCCGGAGCCGAAATGTGGGACTGTGAGGCCGCAACTCCAGTGTTTGCGCTGCATGAGATCTTGTCCCATCTCTACTATTTAGACTAGGACTGGCAAAACTGCAGAAATTATGCACAGAGAAGGTTTTGCATGTGGAGAGTGGAACATGACAACAGCAATGGTACCCGGGTAACTGGGCATGTCTGGTGGTCAGGTGCGTCAGAGTCTTTACAGGGACATTGATCCATGTTACAGCAGCTGCCAGCCACACTTAGTGCCACTTTCATCTGCATCAATAAGCAATTCTTGTCTTTATTATTCTGCAACAACAAATAAAGCTTTTAGACACAAACCAATTTCTCAAGTCTGTCATCCCAAATGTGCGCAGACAGCTACGCAAATGAGCAATGTACACGGGCTGTTTTCTTTCTATGACTTTAGCTTCCAAACATCAAAACCAAATGTGTTAATTCAGTTTTGACATTAAAGGATGCTCTGAGAAGGGCAGAGGAACATTCAAAGTGCACTTTTAATATACTGTTCTAACAAAAAGAAGTCATTCTAACCAAGAGGTCTCACCAACTTACCCAGAGGAGCAGAGAGGACAAAAATGTGGGTGAAATAAACTTTTAAATTTAAAGTCACAGAATACTGTATAACTTTTCAGGTACAAGAATTGACTAAAATGTTTCTTACTTTCTTTTTTGTTTTGAGTATTATTCACTGAAACATGTAAAAAAAAAAAAAAAAGCATCCTTTGGGGCCTGTTTACATGAGAACGCTTGAAGGTAAAAACAAACTAAATATTTTATTATAAGTGCCTTTTGTTTAGACGGTGATGGTGTTTTTGGGGCTTAAAAACACAAAAATCTGAAACCACCCTCCAGAGTGGAAAAGTTAAATATGCTCCGCCGTAGCGTTTCCGTCTAAACTGCCCAAGAAGCAAAACTCTGGTCAGATCTGCTCAGGTTGTGTCCACATTTAGGTCACATACATCACCGAATTCCACACACGTTTTCGTCACTGTATCCACGCAGATTTCCTCTTGAAAACGCTTGTCTAAACGCGAAATAAAAAGTGAAGACGCGACGCCACTTTTGCATCTTCTGTTCAGACCATCGTCATATAAACGTAGCCTTACTGTGAGCAGGTTTGCGTCTTCACAAACCTGACTTTTATTTGACCCGGAGCAGTGCCTCTTCATGCTATTTCCATGGAAATGTTGATTCTTTGGCTATAATCTTCCACAGTAAGACATAAAATCATAGACTGTATTTGGACATAAATGTAAATGGACTAAGCTGCTAGACTCTGTGTTCCAAATAAGAAATGAGCGTACATCATCTTGTTTTTATTTTATTTTGCTATTTAGTCCATAAATCAATTCCTAGCAACGATAAGTTTCATTTGACTGGAGATGAACGCTACAGGTGACATCACACTCCCTCAGTCCACATCTTTACACAGTCTATGCACACAATGTGTCTGTCTCCATGGAGAATGTTCTGAAGTACGGAAAGTTTGAAAGTTACATACAGCAGCTTTAAGCAAACCCAAAAAGTTTGATCTTTTTAGTTTTTCTTTCTGTTTTCTCCACATATTCCTCGTCCAGAGCATAAACAGGTGTCAGAGGCGACAGGTGGAGTTTATCTGAGGTCCTGTGTCCTGATCGGGCCCGGGGCTGATCACAGACTCAGGGGCCGTTAGGGAAAGAGAAATCTAATAGAAACTGTGATTGTTTTGGGAGGACACGCTTCGCCTGATCGCCACAAACTGTTTTCTCCTCTTTTCGCAGGTTAAGATGATGGGAGAGATTAAAGTTTCATGAGTAAGCTCAAATATCTATTGTCAGTAATAATTCTTTTTACATTTTCCTTTCTGATAAAACTCCTGCAAAAGAAGAGAAGCTAACACTTAAGCTGTTGATTGTGGAGTCATAATACACAGTAACACTCATTATGTTGAGTGTAATCTGACTGTGTTCCTCCTTTATGTGTCCAGACGCAGTTTGAACGTGTGACATTTAACAAGAGTCATTTGCTTTGAACAGGCTCCACAAAACGCTCCATTTGAAGCCCTTCAATCAGTGGTTCAATCAAATCATAAAGTGATCACGTTTAATTACATTTGAAAAGGCTGCTGTGCTGAGCTCACATTATGAATGGGACGGTCTATTTCCGGCCGCACAGTGACAGTACGGCTAATTGATGGGCTCACAGCTGTACTTGATGTGTGTCTGTACTTGTGTACTTGTGTGTCTGGAGCAGAACAGCCCCACCGAGCGTGCTCAGTCCACCACCGTCACTGTATCAGAACTGTCAAATCACACAGACACTGTTGAGTTTTAGTCACTGGACAGGTGCAGGTCTTGGTCATCACCTGTCACACCCCTGTCATCACCTGTCACACCCTCATCTCAACACCGGAGCAGGAGAACTGGAACATTCAGAGATCTTCACTCATGAAAATGAATCACGATGAATCATTTGAATTGGTTCCTGCTACAAAAGCTAAAACTTACTGTAGTAACATGCTGCCTGTGCTGCACATGCTGCCTGCGCTGCACATGCTGCCTGCTGCACATGCATGCTGCCTTTACAGCCTTTGAACAGTGTGGGGAACATATGTGTTCTACAGCAATGCTGGGTCTGCTTTATAAAACTTTATGTTGAAATGTGAACATGTCTCATTCACTGCTTGTCTCTCTGAGCAGACTTCCTTCTGTCTTGTGTGAAGCTTTGACATAAATTAACATTTTGGAGACCACATCATGTTGTCATGTACAGATCTTTAAAAATAAGAACCTGTGATGAACAAACACAAACTCACCTGCGGCGCTGTCTCAGATACAGTTATATATGAGTACAGATATTTAGCTCTGTTTTCCATGAGCATGTTTATGACACACAGATTAAGTAAAGCATACTCTGTATTATTCACTGTACATTATCCCCACATGAGTGTGAGAGCAGCTCTCAGGGCTGGAGGACCACACAAAGGTGACTGTATTGTTTGGCAGTGATGGAGAGAAAGCATGTATGTATAAAAGCCCAGCTGGTCGCATTAGCTACAATTAGGCCGTCTGAAGTCCCACAATTACAGTGAGGAAAGCTGACACTCACAATGCTCTGCAGCCTTGCTGAATCAATACATAATTGTAATAATTATCATGCTGGTGTCATTTGTGGTCACGACTGACACTTCCAGAAAAGAGGATGGAATTGGATAAACACAGAGGGATAAATGGCACTTTTCAAGAACACCGCTGCAGCATCTGAGCGGAGCAGGTGAAGCGAAACAGATGAACAGATGAAGTTACAAGCACTTCAGACAAAAGGTGACAGGAACCTGCTGCATGAGTAATAAAAGCTCTGATGAGTCAGAGACAGGGGAAGGTGTGTGAAAAGCAACAGGACTCCAGATCAGAGAAGAAGCAGCTACACCAGGAACATGTGGTTTAGTGTTTTTGCATTGTACAATAGAACTTCAGCTGTATTTTTGTGTTATTGCTTTAACTGGAGTGTTCCACAGAACACTCCAGTTAAATGAACCTTTTATCTCCACAGTAGGTCAGATCTGTGGAGAGGTGACACAGTTTTCAATGTATAGCAATAAAAATGCCTGTAATAAAAGACATGTTTAATATCTTAAAACTGTGAAACATTCATAGAGACGAGAAACAAATCTTCCACCAGAGAAGTTACATTGCACATTTAATAACTTGATGTTTGTTTTAAAACAGAGATCACAAGAAAAATCAGGGAAAAGCTCTTTTGTTAGACACATTCAGTCCTGTTCCCCTCTGTCTGAACCTGTCTGTGAGGTGGGCGATCTTTTACAGTCACATCATGATCATAAAAAGCATGTTTGAAGGAAGATGCATTTGTAAGATGACATATACATAAAAGATGCCGTAATAAGATGTTAATTCTTGTAGTTCACGGTTAAAATGTCAGTTTTACACCTGTTGCTCTGTCTTTGATTCTGTCCCACGTTGGAAAGGTCATCCCAGTCCCCTCTTCCCCCTCTTCAGTGTGGTCTTCAGTTCAGATCTGCGCGTCTGGAGCACGGGGCGCACGGTCTGACTCTGACTCTGGACTGTACTGTGTCTTTTCTCATATTCATCGGCCATTATCAGCGCAGCCCTCGCCCCGGGGCCACGTGCTCTTTAGTATTTCACTTGTGTCTCTTCACGGCGGCGCACTGGGGACCGTTCGGCTGGTTTCTTGTGGCGAGGACGCAGTGGAGGACGCGTATGGCCAGAGGTCCACATGTAATAATCCTTTTAGCTCGTTTGGCCGGTGGGCACAGTACATCACTTCACAATCACGTTATCCCCGCAGTGTTGGCCGAGGCGCTGCAGATAAAACTCCTGTTTGTGTGTGACGCGCCCGCGGCACATCGGCCCTGATTTACCACATTCAAATCAAATTATGGAGCCGCTTGCAGATTGGATTGTTCTGATAAAGTGACTTAATCTCCTATAGGTGACGTTTTCTGCCTTAACCTTTGCGTAAAAGCTCAGGAACTGGTCATATAAAACAAACTTATAGCCTGTTAAATGTAACCAATAAAGGTCCAAAGAGTGTGTTTTAATGAGATACTAATATTTTTCTTCCATAAAAATTAAAGAATAATAAGAATAGTTTATTAATGTAGAATTTTCTTTAAGTAAAACGCATGAACGGGCTCCTGCGCGTGGCTCCAGCGGGTGTAAAGCTTCCTTGACGGAGACCACTTATTGATTTGATCAGAATGAACTTGTTTGACGTCAGACTCTAACCAAACGAGCCAATAAAAAGGGCACAAATGGGCGCACGGCTGAAAAAAGCGGAGGCGCACCATCTCCAACAGCACCGAGGAAACAGGACCGTGCGTAAAAGTCTGTTCCGTAAAATGCATCACTCCAGCGGCTCCACGTCCTCCGCCAAGAGCATCCGCAGAGCCGCGTCCGAGCTCGAGAGGGCTGATTCCGTCACGGTAAGACGCCCCGGGATCATTAAACAACAACAAAAAAAAGTTGGATTTGGAAATTGAATTGTAAAGATGATTCAATTATTGAGCGCTGAAGTTTTCCGTAAGTCCGGCTCTGCGCGCACCTGTTGCGCACGTGACTTTCTTTTATAAAACCATCCTAATTTTCAGTTTTCAATCTAGATTTCAGATTATGATTATGTTTTACTCGCAGATGAGGGCAAGAGCTGTTTTTTCTTATTGATTACGCTGTACTTTGTGATGAAATATCCAAAAGGTACTCACAAATGTTGAACCAAATCATTATTTATTACTGACTAAACCCTAAAACTCACCGTATTACAACAAATATTTACATTTCTGGTCTAAAATGTTGTGATGCCATGCCAAACCGAGCAGTTGTGTCCCTTTTCTATCAATTTTATACGATAATCATGAAAGGAAGGGTCTAAATATTTACCTTTTTTTTTTTGTTTTCTGTTCCATTATTTCTCGAGACAGTCTCCAAAGTTTCTGAGGAGACGCCAGAGCTTGATAGATGACGCGCGGAAGGAGAGAGAAGCGGCGGCGGCAGCGGCTGCAGAGGCGGGGGCCACGGAGCAGATCGTGTTCGAGGAGGACGACGGGAAAGCGCTTCTCAACATCTTCTTTACGCTCGGCAGCTCCAAGACCCCCGCGCTGTCCCGTACCCTCAAAGTGTTCGAGGTAAGGCGCGACAGGGATTATGGACCAGATTATTCACTTTTTTAATGAAGGCAGAGATGTAAAACTATTAAAATATGTTGTTTTTGAGCTAGAGGAACGCTGGGTGTCGTTTTCCCTTTCTCCTTCCCATCCCAGTCCGCACAAGGCTTCATTTAAAGGTGCATTGTGCAACTTGTCACTTGGAGGGTCCGTCACCTGCTTGTTTCTGTGGATTTTGCGCGCCAAACCAAATATCATACACGGGGTTTAATAGTTTTACAGCCCTGTCCTTTATTTTTTCATTAATATTTAGTTTAAAACTGCATCTGATATATAAATTGTAATTATCTGACAAAATAATACTAGTGCATCTCAAAAAAAACAAAAAAACAAAACAGTATCCTGACCCTTTTAATGAACAAATTTTTAAGTTTTTTTTTAGTTTTTTGTTTTGTTTTTGGAAATGATGTAATATTCAAATTTTCGGAGACACTGAATTTTTGTGTTTTCGTTATCTGACAAAATCATAATCAAGCTTCACTCTGGGTGTCATGAGCTTATATAATATACAGGTTTGAATTTCTGAAATGAGTGAAAACATACTGTACTTTCTCGCAAAATGTTTGCTTTTCTAGGCATTTTTGAGCTATGAAACCATCTGTAATTGAATAAATGTAGGCTAGAACTGCTTAATGTCACACTATGAAACATTCCAGACAGAGCAATGACAGATCCAGAGAAACAAGCAGGTGACGAATCCCCAACCAAAAAGTTACACCCTTAATATTTTATATAATGAGGAGAATCCTTTTACGATTAAGGACCTCTTTTACACAATATTAAAATTTTTCGAGATGGACTTGTATATTAGGATCCAACATAGGTTTGATGTTATATGAAAGAAATAGAAGGAGATCTGAGGCACACATTAAATTTACTCTAAAAGTTCTTTATTTAGGCAAAGCAGACAAGCAAACTTACCAGATCAAACCTGTATTTGACCCATTTCCTTTGACCCGGACATGCACTTATCCTTCGTGTTTTTGTGCACAGCCTATAGGTTTGATAGCATATAAAACTAGAAAAGCACTAGAAGCGCAGACCCCCGCCAAGGACTACCCCCATTTTTTATATAAATTGCAATAAAATCAGTCTTCTGGATCAGATCCGATAAGCCTTTGGAATATGAAAGAGGATCCCATTGTCCATCCCTGAGTCAAATTTCATGGGTTTGGTCAATAATTAACCGAGATATTGAGAAACAAAATTTTTGGCCCCATTTACCACAATGTTAACTAAAATTTCAAAGTGATCCAGAATAGGATTTCTTCCGGATCACCCCCAAAATGAAATCAGTTCTTCCTTTTCACATTTCCAACAAATCCTGAAAATTTAATCAAAATCGGTCCATAACTTTTTGAGTTATGTTGCTAACAGACAAACAAACAAACAAACAAACAAAATCAAACAGACATGTAATAAATAAAAAGATGAATAACATTTCTGTAGTCGATACTCTAAAAAGTCCAAATATCTAGTGATTGAGATGTTATTGCAGCTCATGTTTTTTTTAAATAATATTGTAGACTTTGAATATTTTTTGTGGTTTAAATCTGCTCTTGAGTTTTTGTTGTCAGTGGCATAAAAAAACAAAAAAAAAAAAAAAACATTATACATTTAAAATATTATCGTTTATCATCTACATTTAGTTTGCATTTCAAAATGATTGCGACGTTCCATCTAAAAGCTCCAAATATCTATGATCACTTTGCTTTGTCTCGTGAAGTCCTGTTTGTGTTTCAGACATTTGAAGCAAAGATCCACCACCTGGAAACCCGTCCGTCCAGGAAGCAGAAGGACAGCCTGGAGGGTCTGGAGTACTTCGTCCGCTGCGAGGTGCACCTTACGGACGTCAGCACTCTGATAGGCTCGCTCAAGAGGAACGCTGAAGATGTCAAAACCACCAAAGAAGTCAAATGTACGCACGTCTTCTCAGTCTTGCAGATTTTTTTTTGTTGAAAGTGCATTGTGTGACTTTTCTGGTGGAGGATCTGTCAAATGCTTGTCCGGGAATGTTTCACAGTGTGGAATTAACCCTTTCCATCTTCATGGAGACCAAACTAGACCAAGTTACAGGTCAGATCTGTGGAGACGCGACCCAGCTCACAGTCAGAATTCATGTTTTTATAGGTATTTCTGAGCTATAAAACCACCTGTAATGTAATAAATGTGAGTTAGAGCTGTTTATTGTCATACTGTGGAACATTCCAGACAGCGCAATGACATCTCCATAGAAACAAGCAGGTGACGGACCCTCCACCAGAAAAGTTACACAATCCACCTTTAAGATTTCGTTCATGATTTTCTCTTCTAGTTCACTGGTTCCCAAAGAAAATAGGAGACCTCGACAAATGTCACCATTTGGTCACCAAATTTGATCCAGATTTAGACCAAGATCATCCTGTAAGTTGAAAAAGCTCCTGATTTTGTTATGACTTGGCTGTTATGTGGTTAGTGGGACATTTGCTATCAGAAAAATATGATCAGCGAGTTTGATGTGATTTGGACAGGGCTTCACAGACCCCGTGTACAGACAGAGGAGGAAGATGATTGGAGACATCGCCTACAGTTACAGACAGTGAGCTGCAACATTGAACAGACTTCCACAAAAACAATTATAAAAGGCTTTTAAACCTTAATATTGTGTTTCTTTTCTGTGTTCAGCGGAGAGGTTATTCCCAGAGTGGAGTACACAGCCGAGGAGATCGGCACATGGTAAGACGAATTGTTTTCTTAACATCCTGTTGTACTGAGCTAAATGACTAGAGCACCTTTAATACAGTTTACCGATAGTTTTAATGGAACACGGAATTTAAAGGAGCTTTTTGTAACTTTTCTGCTAGAATGCTTGTCTTCATGGAGATGTTATTGCTTTAGGTTGAATGTTTCTGTATAAAGTATATAGTGTAAAACCTTTTTGTCTTCATGGAGACCAAACCAGATCAAGTTACAGGTCAGATCTGTGGAAAGGCGACCCCACTCACAGTCAGAATGTCTGTTTTTCTAGGTATTTTTCAGCTTTAAAACCACCTGTAATTGAATAAATGTAAGCTAGAACTGCTTAAAGTCATACTGTGGAACATTCCAGACAGAGCAATGATAACCATATTGTACATTTAAAATAGTCCCAATATTTTGTCACAGTTTCAGTGTTAATACTTGTCGTGTATACTTTCAAAACCACAATAGAAGTCAGATGTACGCACTTTCTCTCGCCCTTGCAGTTTTTGTAGTTAAAGGTGCATTGTGTAACTTTTCTGGTAAATTGCTTCATGGAGATGTTATTGCTTTGTCTGGAATGTTTCACAGTATGGCATTAAACCTTTCTGCCTTCATGGAGACCAAACTAGACCAAGTTGCAGGTCAGATCTGTGGAGAGGCGACCCCGCTCACAATCAGAAGGTCTGTTTTTCTAAGCATTTTTGAGCTATAAAACCACATGTAATTGAATAAATGTAAGCTAGAACTGCTTAAAGTCATACTGTGGAACATTCCAGACAGAGCAATGACATCTCCATAGAAACAAGCAAGTGACAGATCCCCAACCAAAAAGTTACACCCTTAATGTTTTGTCTCATGAGGAGAATCCTTTCATGATTAAGGACTTCTTCGTGGCCTAGGCCTGTCACGATAATTACTATATCGACTTATTGTTCAATGCATAATATTTGGAAGAATCATTTTTGGTGGGCAATTTTAATCATCATCACTTTTTCTTAGTATTTGTAGGGGTCTTTTTGTTATTTTTCTCTTCTACGATGAGATTTGAGCTGTAGAGGGTTGAATTATGAACTTCTATGACTCATTATAGATACAGACCGACTTCTAAAGAGTTTCATTCTGTTATTTATTTATTTATTGTAGTTCATTTTTTAACCATATTGTAGATTTAAAATAGTCTTTTGGGGAGTATTGTGTCATCATTTCAGTGTTATTATTTGTCATGCATATTTTCAAAAACCACCAAAGAAGTCAAATGTATGCACGTCTTCTCACCTTTGCAGTTTTTGTAGTTAAAGATGCATTATGTAACTTTTCTAGTGGAGGGTCTGTCAGATGCTTAATGGAGATGTCATTGCTTTGTCTGCTTTCTGTCTTCATGGAGACCAAACTAGACCAAGTTACAGGTCAGATCTGTGGAGAGGCGACCCCGCTTACAGTCAGAATATCTGTTTTTCTAGGCATTTTTGAGCCATAAAACCACCTGTAATTGAATAAATGTAAGGGTAGAGTTGCTTAAAGTCATACTGTGGAATATTTCAGGCAGAGCAGTGACATCTCCATAGAAACAAGCAGGTGACGGACCTATCGTGTATATTTTCTTCAGCAGTATATCGCACAAATTTGTTATCGTGACAGGCTGGTTATGATGTGAATAATTTTGAGAGCTTGCATCAAAATAAGCCTTTTCTTTCATTTTTTTTCATGCTGTCTGTTTAAAGGTCCTAAATTACGCAGAAATGACCCTCGTGAGCTTTAAACCATGTTATCTTATGAAAAAACACACCTGGACTTGTGTTTTGTTTCAGTCACGCATTTGAGTAACCTTTTATTATTGTCTGCGTGGCTGTACATTTCCATAACTCAGAATGTTCTGTTCCACTTTGAGACGTTGACAGCTTCCTTTTACCTTTTGATTTTATTAGAGATAAGCAAATTCAGGTCAGAGATTCTCATGAAGGTGTATGGAATTTAAAATCACAGTGGGGCACTTCCTGTATTACCACATGACATCACAAGGTGGGATCAGAAAATTGCATAATATAGGCCCTTTAGATGCATACATACTGTACCTCTTTCCTTGTGTCATTAAAGGTTGTATAGAGGATTTTTTTAAGGAAAGAGAAATCCAGCGACAGTCCTTTTTCAAATGTAGTGCATGCGTGACACCACCTTCCTCCTCCACAGGTCCCTCTAGAAATAATTTAGAGACCGACACCTCAGTTTTTAGACCCTTTGTCTGCTTCAGTCGCACAGTCACTGAAAGGAATCTCCAAGAATCACCTCAGTTTGTCTTCGCTCCTTTTCTCCTTCTCTTCTTCTTTCAGCGACCTCAAAAACCGACTTTCTTTTGCGGCGAACTGGTCGTGGATTCTCGTCCGACATCGCAACAAACTTTATGCGAACTGCGAGAGAGCCACAATTAGAAAAAGCCTCTAAGACCCGCTGCATAGTTACCTTAGAAACGTAGGGAGTTTGATTGACAACCTAATAGCCAATAGAAAATGAGGCAGCCTCGTTTTCTATTGGCTGATGTTTATCTGGCCTCAACACGTCCACAGTTCATAGATTTTCTTTCTTTTTTTTTCGTCATCATAATTACAAAGCTGTTGCATCTCTGTAATGGTATTTTAAACTTTCATTGACAATTTAAAACAAACAAAAAATCCTCCATACAACCTTTAAGGGTGCACTCACACGAGCACTTGGGCACAGATTACTCCTAAAGCGCGGCATGTTTGTTGCCTGATTCATCTGCCACTTTCACTTCGTAGAAACCGTCTGACCTCGCATTGTTAGAATTCATTTGTTTGATAGTAGGCGGGTACTTTTGATCACTTAACCAATTGTTGCTATTTGGTAGTCACGTATGTAAAGCGCCACTAACGGGACTAACTGGTATATTAAGCTTTTCCTAAATCCCGTAGGAAGAAGGGCAATAATGTCTTTTCCCTTGATAAAATTCACCAAACATTCACTTTATTCCGGCTTTAAATCCTCAATCTTGGGAGTCATTGACAACACTGAATATATGGCTCTTCGCTGATTGGTTGGTGCCTGAACTCGCGCTTTTTTTGCAAATCGTCTAGTGCATTTTGATTCCTGACCTAGTCGCTGGAGAGAAATGAAATTGAGCGGAGACACTAGGTTGCGCCAGCCTGGCGAGTATGTTTATCCAGTGTGAGCGCAATTGAACCGGGCCCAGAAACTGCATGGTTGGGACTTTGGTCCGGTTGGAGGAGGTGGGCCAAAATGCGGCACAGTTGCTCATATACACACACACAACTTTATTATACTACACGACTATACTATATGTTACTCATATGAGGAAAACAGTGAATAAACTTCGCTCTAAAGCACAGTGAATCCATGCTTACTTTCGATAAGGACTGTGGACAGCGACAGAAGTTTTGTGACCTCTCGTCTCTGGCCGTCCTCACTGCTCCGCGCTGTTATTATATCCATGAACTCACAGACAAGCGTATCGCAGCAGGTGTCATATCTGTCTCAATGTTTAACAGATAATTCATGCCACTGGACTTATTTTCTCCGCTAAAGCTTTAGCTCTGCTGCACGACATGTAAACAAACAATAACATGGCATGACGTCATCGGCTGTAGACAGGACTGGTGCATTATGTAGTTGAGGGTGTGGGTGTGTTGCTCTGGTACAGAGGGGGCGAGGCTCATGTGGGCACGTGCGCATGGATATGTATCTGTGGAAGGGTGTAAAAGTGTGCACTTACTTGTTACCCAGTTTTGGTTGAAGGTCAGGGCTGGGTAGCTGTAATTTTTATTGACCAACTTTCTTCCTCTAGACTCACCCTTTGTTTTCCAACTGGTTCTATCCCTCTTCTTTGCTGCGCTGTGATCGCTGTATGTCCGGTAATAAATATTCATAGAGAAAAGTCCCACACACCGTCTTACTTGCAAATTGTGAGATTTATTAGATTTATTAAATAGGTTTGCCTGACGAAGGCCTAGTGCCGAAACGTTGCACGGTTTGTCTTAATAAATCTCACAATTTCCAAGTAAGACAAGTAAGGATTTTTCTCTATGTTCTTGGGCCGTTCCCTCAACGCACCCATCCCAAGTAACTAATGTGCAAAGTTCTCATTCTTTTATATGGTAATAAATATTCAAGCGTATTTGTTTACAATAGCCTCCAAGTGCATCACAAACTACAACCCCAGGACCCACTCTGATCTTCCCGAGCGGCTATAAGGTTGGTCAAGAAGCCGCTACATCGGCCGTGACCCTTTTCGGTTTGTGCAGGAGTGATTGCCCCCGGCCCATTTCTCACCGTCTTGTGTCTTGAGCAGTTTGTCTTTGGATGTTACCTTCGACTTTCTAATAACAAATAAAATCATTCAGCGCCTGCGTTTACCTGTCAGCAGTGTTCAGTCTAATTTACCTGAATATGAATTGACAGTGATTTGTGTTTTAAAATGGCTGTGATGTTTCTGCATGAAGGAGAGAAGTGTACTCCACCCTGAGAGACTTGTACGCCACTCACGCCTGCAGTGAGTATCAGGAAGCCTTCCACCTGCTGGAGAGACACTGCGGCTACAGCCCGGACAACATCCCCCAGCTCGAAGATGTGTCCAACTTCATTAAAGGTAAAAATAATCATTGTATTAAATATATTTACAGTATTTTCTGAGTATATTCATAATACAATATTGTTTAGAAATAGACAGATATGAGTTTTCATGGTTGATGCCGATTGGTGGTTTTCAGATTCTAAAATGTGTCAGATGGATTTTCCTATTTATTAGATTGTACTTTTTTATGTTTATTAAGGTCATCACAATCACATTAGACAAACCAGATGCAAGTGCTGGTTTTCAACAGCTGTCCGCCGAAAAAATATAAGCTACATGCATAAAACAAGACACAATCAAGACACATTTACATAAATATAAGAAATATAAACGGCATTATTATATTTTCAGTGAGAACATTGCCATGAAATACTCAAAACGTAAAGTCACAAATGTTGAACCTGATCATTTCTGTAGTGACTAGACCCAAGAGCTCACAATATTGCAAGAAAAGTCTGCATTTGAACAATATTAACAATAATATTTTCTTTCTGTATTAATGGACCTTTGTGTAACTTTTAAAGGTCCGTCAGATACTTTTTTCCATGAAGACGTTATTGCTTTGTCTGGAATGTTTCACAGTATGATGTTAAATCTTTCTATCGCCATGGAGTTATTGGTCAGATCTGTGGAGAGGCGACCCCAGTCACAGTGAGAATTCCTGTTTTTCTAGGTATTTTTGAGCTTTAAAACCACCTGTTGATGAATAAATGTAAGGTAGAGCTGTTTAATGTCATACCATGGAACTTTCCAGGTAGGGCAGTGATATATCCATAGAAACAAGCAGGTGACGGACCCCCAACCAAAAAGTTACATAGTGCACCTTTAAATATTATTGACCTATAAAATGTTGTGATGTGATCTGAAACTGAGAAATGCTGATTATTAGGAATCCAGAAGAAAAAGATGCAGGATCAGATCTGCCGATATTTTTGGGCTGATATGCATGGACTATTTTTTTTCCCCCCCAAAATAATTTTATTTTAATTTACTACAAAGTCACCCACAACAGTTGCCTCTGTGCACTAACATGTTCAAAGCTTTATGTGTAATCTTTATGCAGCAGACCAGCCTGTTTTAAGCCTGATGTGCTAAAAAAAAGTGCAGATATTGGCCAAGTGATATGGGTCTATCTCTAATGTCATATCATATAAAGAAAAGGCCATGTTAAATTGTATTGTTCTTGCTTCTCTGTCTGTTCAGTGAATATAATGTTGTATAATGCTTAATCTCCGCACCCTCTTTTCTCCTTTCCTTCAGAGCGGACGGGCTTCATCCTGCGGCCGGTGGCAGGTCTGCTCTCAGCGCGGGACTTTTTGGCCAGTTTAGCGTACAGAGTTTTCCAGTGCACCCAGTACATCAGACACGCCTCCTCCCCCATGCACTCGCCCGAACCGTGAGTGACCTCTGTGTGTTTGTGTGACTGTTTCAAATGATTCACTCAGACACAGAACTACAAATCATGAGCTGTGGACTGACAATGACCTAAGTACAATTCATTATTGAAACATGTAAGTGTATGTATAAATACTATATACAGATACAAATGATTATTCTATATAACTGTAATTAAACAATTAAAGAAGTTTTTTTTTGTTTATATATCTAGTGCTTTTCACAGACATGTCACAAAGACACTTTACAGAGCATTATTCATTCACTCAACGGTGGTAAACTACAGATTGTCAATGGGCAGACTGATGGAAGTGCAGCTGCCAATCTGTGCCATCAACACTCACACCACTTTCATACTAGGCAATGTGGGTGAAGTGCCTTGCCTAAGAACACAACAACAGTTTTTGTGACTGGCACCCCCTGTGGCACCGGATTTTTCCAATGGTCTCCCGTCCAAGTACTGACCAGGCCCAACCCTGCTGAGCTTCTGAGATCTGGGAGGATCAGGCTTTGACAACCCACATGTTTGCATTTACAAACACTGAATAACTCAATTGATATTCTAATCCACTGATTTGTTTGTGAATGTAACCAAACTGATCGTGATTATGTATTAGGCAGAAATTTAGCCAATTACAATTTTTAAAACTCATTTAGTGCTGTTGTTGTAGTAGTGAAGTTTGATTTCCTCTCCACAACAGTTAGCGCTATTTCCTCACAGCAAGAAGGTCCTGGGTCTGATTCTGGCTTGTACAGGACTCCCCTGAAAAAGAGATTCTTAACCTCAGTGGCTCTATCCTGGTGAAATAAACGCCAATACATGAATAAATAATAACATTTCCTAAATTTCCGTTTCATAAAATATATTTTTTGCTTTTGAAGAAGGCCACATGGACAAAACATTGTACATAATAATTAAACTGTTTGCGAGGTTTGATGGTTTATGGGATTCCTTTCTTTTTCATAAAATATTTAAACAGATGTTTGTTGCTTTTACCTTCAGTCACCTGCTGCATGTGTCTTAAGTGACTGGTGGAAATTTAACGGAGTTTCCATTATAATTGCCCAGTTGTAGAGGAGGATGTTACAGTTCATAAAAACAAGCCCTAAAGGAAAACAACGCTGTAATGCCCAGACCATCATAAATCTATAATCTAACCTCATTCACATTGAGTCACAGAATCCTCAGCACCTGTCAGCACCTGCCTGGCCAATTCAGGTTACATTTTCATTGATTACTTGCAATTTGTCTTTGTTTTTTAACAGTGATTGTGTCCATGAGCTTCTGGGTCACGTCCCCATGTTGGCCGACCGCACTTTTGCGCAGTTCTCACAGGTAGGCCTCATTTTACCGTAGTTTTACAGATTTTCAGACTTAATTAATCCACAAAGGAACTTACTTGGACACAGTAGCCCATAATAAATTCAAAACAAGTAGCATATATATCAAGAGACTGATGTCAAATAAGGCAGAATGATTTAAATATGGTAAAAATAGTCATGAAAATATGTCCTATCATACAAAAATACACCTCTGACTGTGGTTTTTTCCTCTTTAGAACCTGGGTCTTGCATCATTAGGAGCTTCTGATGAGGACATAGAGAAGCTGTCCACAGTAAATTTCCATAATCTTTTGTTTATCTGCTTTTGTATCTTGTTTTGCTGAGCACTTTGTTTCCCATGCAGCTGTACTGGTTTACGGTGGAGTACGGCTTGTGTAAACAGAACGGGGAGCTGAGGGCGTATGGAGCTGGCCTGCTGTCCTCATATGGAGAGCTCGTGGTAAAGTTTCACAGTGTTCCCTCTTTCGGTCCCTGCTTACTGTTAAAAGTTTCTAAAAAGAACATTGAGTAAACCCTCAGTCTTAATGCGAATCTGTTTTCTTTCACATAAAATCCAGCATTCACTTTCGGATGAGCCAGAGAGGAGGGAGTTTGATCCAGAGGCAGCCGCTGTTCAACCTTATCAAGACCAGACCTATCAACCAGTTTACTTTGTCTCGGAGAGCTTTGCAGATGCTAAGGAAAAGTTCAGGTATTTATGTAAATTTACGAGAAGGAATGGGGGAGAGGTGGAATGCAAAAACAAAACAAAAAAGTGAAGGGGTTATGTAAGTACAAGGTCGAGCAGCCATCCAAGCCCTGGGGACACAAATGATTTTAGGTCAGCCAGGAGACAGCTGTTGCTAATGCAGTCCTTCCTTACCAAGACGAGAAAAAAAATCAAAGTCTGAATTGGCTCAAAGTTCAAATGCATCTCTGTATAACAAGTTGTGCTTTTGAGACAGTATTTAGTCTGTGGGGACCTGCATCATAGCAAAGTCAGAGAAGGCATGGTAAATATGAAACATAAACGCGATAATACAAAGTGAAGGCGTAACTAATGCGTTTGAAGACAGGGAAGAGAATTTCGGAAACTGTAAGACAGGAAAGATTGTGTAGAAAAGAACTTCATGCAAAAAACTAGAAATAAACCAGGTCTGGACTAGGTTTAAACCAGGACAGGACCAGGTTTAAAGCTGAGATAAAGCTGGTAAAGGATGCCAACTATTTCATTTAAAGGGCTCTTATTGCTAGCCAGGCTGACACCACCTAGTGCCACTGCTCAATTTCATTTCTCTCCAGCGACTAGATCAGAAATTGGAATACAGTAGACGGGTGTGTGAGTTCGGGCACCAGCCAATCAGTGAAGAGCCATACGTTCTGTGTTGGTAACGATTCCCAAGATCGAGGATTTAAAGCCGCAACAAAGAGAATGTTTGGTGAATTTTATCAAGGGGAAAGACGTTATTGTCCTTCTTCCTATAAGATTTTGAAAAAGATTAATATACCAGTTAGCCCCGTTAGCGGCGCATTACATACGTCATGACCAATTAGCAGTGATTGGTCAAATAAAAAAAGTACCCTCCTACTGTCAAGTGAAGAAATTCTAACGCTGCGAGGTCAGAAGATTTCCACGAAGTGAAACCAGCTGATGAATCAGGCTACCATATTGATTCAGATTCAGAATCAATATGGTAGCCTGATTCAGAAAACTTTATTGATCCCATCGGACAATTCATTAGCAGCATCTCACTTCTCACACACACAAACACAAACACAAACACAAACACACAGTGTGTCAGTCCATTACAGTCCACAAGTGGAACTCAATAATAATCTACAAATTACAGTGCACAACATTCAGAAAACTGTACCCTTAGAATTTAGCAATTTAATAGCAGAGGGCACAAAAAAATTTGAGAAGCGGTTTGTCTTTCGTACCGGAGCATAAAACCGACGCCCTGAAGGCATCAGGATAAAATCAGGACTTGCACCTTTCTGATCTATGTTATAATGTTTCCTCATCAAAAACATACCTGGAAATCTGTTTTATTTCATTCACACATTTAACACACAAATCCTGCACATTTAATTCTTCTCTCAGACAGAAAACACTCTGTTCCACTCTGCACAAGGTGGAACAGAGTGTTTTGAGCTTTGGAGATGTAGACAGATTAATAATAAAGGATTACTCAAACGTGTGAATGAAACAAAACAAAACCCCGGGTATGTTTTTCATGAGAGAACAACATTATAACTTGGTTTAAAGCTCACAAGAGTAAAATTTGTGTCATTTGAGACCTTTAAACAACACTAACTAGAAAGTCTGGATGATTGATAAATGTCAAATATAAAGAATTGTGGTTCACACAGGTGAGGGTGTGGGAAATGGCAAGATCATCACATTTACATATAAATAAAGGGGCAGACTAATAGATTTTTTGTTCATATCTGCTCCTTTCTAATCATGGAAATGCCTTCGATTACATACATTTACTTTAGTCACATTATATTGCCATGAATTGTACTACTGTGCATTTTCATGAAAGGAACAAATACAAAAAAATTAAAAGTGAAAAAATGATATCGTGTTGTAATCATGCCAGCCCACCAAATTCAGTAGAAAGACAACTTCCTTGTAACTGAACCATGCAACTGCCAATTCAGCTCATAGTTATTTTTCCCACAGTGAGATTAATCAAAATATACGTCATTTAGGGCCTGTTTACACGAGAACGCTTGCGGGTAAAAATGACAAAATATTTTATCAGAAGTGCCTTTTTGTTTAGATGGTGACGACGCTTTTGGAGCTTAAAAACGCAAAAATCTGAAACCGCCCTCCAGGATGGAAAAGTTGAACACACTTCACTGTAGCTTTCCGTCTACACTGACCAAGACGCAAAACCCTGATCAGATCTGCTCACGTCACGTACACGTTTATGTCACATACATCACCACCACTGACATGCGTACACAATCGAATTCCACACACTTTTGCTTCACTGCATGCACGCAGATTTCCTCCTGAAAATGCTCGTCTAAATGTGGAATAAAAAGTGAAGATGCAATGCCACTTTTGCATCTTCCATTCAGACCATCATCATAGAAACGTAGCTTTAGTCGCTCAGTTGTAGTTTCTCAAGTCTAAAAACTGCAGAACATGAACCGTGACATCACCTTTAACCTCTAAGTTTTTTGTTTTTCCTTTTAAACCCAGGGCCTACGTAACGGGAATCAAGCGCCCCTTTGCCGTGAGATACGACCCGTTCACAAGCAGCGTGGAAGTCCTGGACAACGCCCACAAGATCCAAAGAGGTCTGGACTGTGTGAAGGACGACCTGAAGACGCTCACAGATGCCCTGAGTGTGCTGGCGTGACGAGGCTGTGACCCTGGCATGGGGTCAATGTGTGTGTGTGTGTGTGTGTCCACAGACTGTATAAAGAAGTGGACTTAGTGAGCGCGACATCACCCGTAGCGTTCGGTTTCAGTCAAATGAAGCTCACCGACGCGCGCAGTTAGAGAGGTGAGTTTAGAGCAGAGTTCTGTAGTAGGAAAATGAATTTATTTACGGATAAAATTGCAAAATGAACACCAGGTTCATGTAAAGCGAGTTAAAGGTGCATTGTGTAATTTTTCTGGTGCAGTGTCCGTCTCCTTCAGTTACACGTGGTTTTATAGCTCAGAAATAACTAGAAAAACAGGCGTTCTGACTGTGAATAATTAATTCTGGCAAAAAGAGACAGGATAAAACAGAAGCACAAACAGAATACACTCACACATCAACCATAAAGTAAACAGTGATTAGAGACATGAGACAGTGAAACATTTGCAGATTAAAGATAGAAATGTGTCAAAAGCAACAGAGGTAAAACCGAATTAAGTTTTAAAGTCTGCTGAAGGTGGTTTCAGTCACTTGCTGCCTCTCCACTGATCTGACCTGTAACTTGGTCTGGTTTGGTCTCCATGAAAATAGAAAGGTTTAATGCCATACTGTGAAACATTTCAGACAAAGCAAGAGCATCTCCATGGGGAATAGCGTTTGATGGACTCTCCACCAGAAAAGTTACATAGTACACCTTTAATATGAACATTTTAAAACCAAAATTAGAGGTCTGCATAGGACAGAATTTTCAGTCCTGCTCCCGCCCTCACCTAGTCAATCTGGCGCCACCTAGTGCCTCCGTTCAATTTAATTTCTCTCCAGCAACTAGGTCAGGAATCAGAATACACTAGACGGTTTGCAAAAACCTTGGAAGTGTGAGTTCGGGCACTAGTCAATCAGTGAAGAGCCATACATTCTGTGTTCACAATGATTCCTGAGATCGAGGATTTAAAGCTGGAACAAAGAGAATGTTCAGTGAATTTTATCAAGGAGAAAGACGTTATTGCCCTTCTTCCTACGGGATTTGGGGAAAGTTTAATATACCAGTTAGCCAAGTTAGTGGCGCATCACATACGTCATGACCAAATAGCAGCAATTGGTTAAATGAAAAAAGTACCCGCCTGCCGTCGAGAGAACGAATCCTAATGCTGCGAGGTTTTCCACGAAGTGAAACTGGCTGATGAATCAGGCTAGCCCGCTCCTGCATTGTACAGTCCCCAGACCGCCCGCGCCCACAAAGAATTGTAATTTTCATTCTTGCTCACGCCTGCAAATCTGCTTTCTTAAACTCTATCAAACACGGAGAAGTAGAAAGTAATGCATGAGATTAGACCACATCTGCAAGTTTTGGCTTAAAATTATTTTATGAATGCCAAATAAAATATCCAGCACAAATAATGTATGATAGGCATACATTTATCATTTCTATATTTTACTTCACATTCATATTTACTTTGCGGGACTGCAGTTTATCATCCCACCCACTCGCTCCCGCATTGCGCAGTCCGGCTCCAACCCACTCGCGCAATGAGCTTTCAAAATGTGTCCCGTGTCGCTCTGTTTTGTGTCGGGAGGGTTTGTGGGAGTGCAGTGCTCTAACCAAAATGACGAATCTCACTGCAGCAGTTACAGAAAGAGGGGTGACGATTCTTCAATGTAAAGTCAATTGGAGCCAGAGTCGATGGAGCCGGAAGCGCGCCCCATGCTCACTTCCTATTTGAAAAGCGATGGCCAGCGGGTGAGCTGCGTCCATTTCTATATACAGTCTGTGTGTGTGTCACCAGTGTAGTCTCTATGTGCTGTTATAATGTTGTAGCTGATCTGGGGCCATCGCCACTAAAGAAAAAGATCATTTTAAACTTTGAGATGCAGTGTTGGCAAATATTTCCAAAGATTTATTTCTCATTCGCAAAAATGCAACAGAATCATATTGCTTTAATGGGTGCTTGAGAAATGTGAGAATACATGTGCAAAAATATTATATTGTAATTAAAAAAGGAAAAATATATCATGTAAAAGCAGTGTATATATATATTATAAGTAAAGTTTTAAAATATTTATCTTGACTGTCACTTCCAAATATGCAGCTTTGGTTCCTATGTCTCATGGTGTGTGCATAATAAAATAATAAAAACACAAAAAGGTCATCTTATTATTGCTATTTTAGGCCACTATGATGAAAGGAATATCTACAGTACCATGTGTTATCAAAATTTGCAGATACAAATTGTTCCAGCATGAGCTCTGTATTTGGTGTGTGAGTGTTTTACTTGAGTACAATCTGTAAAAACTTCTGTGTGGACGGTCTCCTTAAAGAGTTTACCCGCAGAAGGAGACACTATCGCCACGGTCAACTCACTTGTGTCAAAGGGCAGGACTCAAGCTCGGCAAATGGATGAGTAACAGCCGTGAAGTCTTGTCTAACATTTCACAGGCGCATCGTTCCAAACACGTACACGAGCTGGATCCGGACAGAGACATGCTGCCATTAGAGGGGGCCCTTGGTCTTTATGGGTGTGTATAGAATGATGAGTTCAGTTTTAAAAGAGACATTAAAGAACAGCCACATACCAGAAGAGGAATTATATCCATTGTGAGCTCTGTGTACGACCACCTGGGATTCTGGCTCCCTTTAGACTCAACGCAAAGTTCAGCCTGCGAGAGTTGTGTGGACTGAATTACAGCTGGGACGATCTGGTGTCTCAAGATTTGCAGGTACAATGGAAGTTCTAGCTGAGTGACCTGGAGAGAGTGGCAGGCAGGTCAACAAGGACTTTGGACATGCTGCAAGGGTGCAACTACATCACTTTGCAGATGCGAGTCAGGATGGATATGGCATTGTCAACTCTCTAAGGCAGCAAAAGTTCTGATGGTGTGCAGGTGGCCTTCTTATCTGCTGAAGCTTGCGTGGCTGTCCATGTCGATAAGATGCTTCAAACTGAGCTGCGGCTCAAGCTGGAGACAACACCTCAGTCCTCAGGTACATCAGAAATGAGGATAAGAGGTTTCATGTTTTTGTTGAAAACTGAAAAGCTGCCATCCAAGAAGCATCTCATGTAGCACAGTGGATGTACAGCTCTGGAAAATAATCAGTTTCTCTGATTTTACTACTTATAGGTATGTGTTTGAGCATAATGAACATTTTAGTTTCATTCTATATCCTACTGACAACATTTCACCCAAATTTCAAATAAAAATATTGTTATTTAGAGCATGTATTTGCAGAAACTAACAAATGGTCAAAATAACAAAAAAAAGATGCAATGTTTTCGGACCTCAAATAATGCGAAGAAAACATGGTCATATTTATTTTAAAACAACACAATACTAATGTTTTAACTTAGGAACAGTTCAGAAATCAATATTTGGTGGAATAACCCTGATGACCACCTTCATCTTCAGCTTGATCACGTTCCAGAGGTTTTCAATGGGGTTCATGTCTGGAGATTGGGCTGGACATGAGAGGGTCTTGATCTGGTCGTCCTTCACCCACACCTCCACTGACCTAGTTGTGTGGCATTGAACACTGTCCTGCTGAAAAAAAAAACAGTCCTCAGAGTTGGGGAACATTGTCAGAGCAGAAGGAAGCAAGGTCTCTTACTTTTTTCCAGAGCTGTATGCACCTACTCCATAAAATCCAGCAGATGATGCCTCCCGAGGACTCAGAATGGGACTGATAAAGGACAGAAAGGGCCAGAGTTTTTGAAAGCAGCTGAAGATGAATGGCCACTTACCAAACAGGACATAACCAAAGCTGATGGTGATCCTAAGGTGAAAAGAGACATACTGATGAGTTCTGTTGTTGTGTATTACCCAGAACCTACCAGTCGACTGATATTGCACTATTCTGATTGGACAAGACTCAACGCTGCTGGGACATGGTTTCTTAAGTTCAAAGGAATTCTTGTAAAGATGAATCGATACTGCAGAGATCGTATGAAAGAACTGCTTGATGTTAAAGCTGTGGACCAGGAGATGAAGCAGTGGAAAGCTGCCCTGGCTGAGAGGACAAAGTCTGATTGTGGAGGGTGTGAGGGAGGCTGAGATGGCCATCACTGGGTTCACTCAGCAGCAAGCCTTCCAAAGTGAGATTGAAACTTTGATATCTGGAGATTCTAGTGTAAAAAAAAGGACAGGAGAAATTGCTGAGAGTTGGTAGACGTCTAAGAAAGGCAGCGATTCCAGAGAATGATGTAATTTCGGTAAAAATCATTTTATTGAAGGGGCATCATGCATCCTCTCTGATTTTAAGGCATATTCACAATCAGCTGGGTCATGCAAGCACAAACCATATGCTTTCTGCGCAGAAGTTACTGGATCCTTCACGCCAATGCTGCTGTTAGAAAGATCATCTCAGCCTGTTCCGTCTGAAAGCGTCAAAGAGGAAAACTTGTGGAGGATAAAATGGCAGACGTGCTTCCTGAAAGACTTACTCCTGACCTTCCGTCCTTTTCCAGTGTCGGTGTAGATTACTTTAGACCTTTGGAGGTGAGAGGAGGAAGGAGTCAAGTTAAACACTATGGAGTGATCTTTGTATGGCATAAGTAGAGCTGTGCACTTGGAGGTTGCTTACTCTTTGGATACAGACTTTTGTATTAATGCCTTAAGAAGGTTTGTCTGCAAATGGGGCCAAGTTATACACATAAGATCAGATAACGGGACAAACTTTAGAGCAGCACAGAGGGAGCTGAAGGAGGCCGTCACTGCCCTGGAACACAATCAAATCAAAGAGCTTCAACCCACCTGGAGCCTCTCATCATGGGGGAGCCTGAAAACGTATCATTGTAAAATACTCACCTATTATTGGACGGATATTGGATGATGAAGGCTTCCATACACTGTTGTGCAAAGTGGAAACTATTTTGAATGATCACTCCATAACAAAATTGTCTGATGATCCATGTGATTTAGAGGCTCTGACTCCAAACCACCTGTTAACTATGAACGACAAGCCTGTGTTACCCACGGGCCCGTTCAGTGCCACAGATTGTTACTCAAGAAGGAAACAGGCTCAGTATATTTGTGACCTCATTTGGAAAAGATGGATATGGGAGTATCTCCCACTGCTGCAAAACCGCCACAGGTTGAATAAGGAGAGGAAAAATCTTGTTCCCAGAGACATTGTGTTGATGGCAGACTCTGCGCTCCTGTAGCTCGTGGCTGTTGGGTGAAATCAAACAGACCTCTGTGGATAAAGGTGGATTTGTACGATCTGCACGTGTGAAAACAAAGACAAGTGTTTTGGAAAGGTCGATCGCAAAACGCAATAAGACTCTGACTGAACTTGGATCCAAACTTTGACAAGTGAATTACTGGACTCTTTTACTCAATTACTGGCCAGAGAATGAACTTTGAGAATATGTTTTAAATGATTTCTGAAAATGAATTAATAGTGGGCTTTTATGGACATTTAGCGTAATGACAGCATGATTTAAATGAAGTTGTAAATTGCATTTTGTCTGGAAAATGACAGTTAGAAGCCAGAGTGCACCAGCCATTATGCACATAGCCTGTAGTTTGAAGGCGTAGGAGCGTTTTATGAGTGAACGTGTGCGTGAGTGGGTGTGGCAGGTGTGCGTGTGTATATGGGAGGGCTCAGTTGTGCAGGTGTGAGAATGGGTGAGCACATAGTTTTTACCTGTGCTAAGCCATGCAGCTCCGTGTTGTTGATCTAGTTACTGTAATCAATAATGTTTATCGATCAAATGTCTTGGGAGTGTGTGCGTCAATTCTAAACACCCAGTCAAAGTGGCATTGAGAAGCTTTAGTCACACAAATAATAAAAATTCGGATTTAGTTCCAGACTGTTTGCATACGTTAGCCACCAGGGGGGGCCAGTTCCTTCGTGTTGTGTTGCAGGTAAATCCTAATGAGGCCATGATGAGAGACAGTTACAAATATTCACCTTTCAGTCAACTGGGCTGCCAATAAATAAAATATGTGTGTATATATGGTGAACATTATGTTATAAACGTTGAAACACTATAAGGTTGACAACATAAGCCTAAATAAACAAATGACAGGTTTTCCTTAATGTTACAGAACCAAAACATGGGCTAAAGACAGGACTGACCAGACGTGAAACAGGATAGATACAGTTGTGAATCAGGTCCAAACTAGAACTAACCAAGATTGGGCACTTACCAGGAATAAACCCGGACTAGAAAGGGGTCTCATCGACATACAGTCAAGCAAAGTCTACTACAAACTGAGACGTTTAATCAACAAAAGAGGAACAATACGTTTTGTTCTTGTAGGCTGATTTATCTCAAAAACTGCGTCTGAGAGTCTGCGCTTCCATCCACAGTCACTAGATGTCAGTGTGCGGCTGAGGACATGTCCAGGCAGAACCCTACCACTTGTTTTTCCCAAAATAAAGGTTACCATTAATAAGTAAATTTGGGCAGTTAAAAGGAATGTGTAAAAAATTTGAATATTTGTATGTGAACAGCCCCGAGGAAGCCAGGGCCTACACGCATTATCACCAGTATATTCACATCAGTCTAAAGGCTGTTTTTAAGAGGAACTGTGACCCTTCTGATTTATTATTATTATTATTATTATTATTATTAATAATAATAATAATAATAATAATAATAATAATAATAATAATAATAATAATAATAATAATAATGTATTCCTGTTGTTTTCCTCCTCCTCACATAAACAAAGCATGACATCATTGCCTGTTGTGTCCTGTCCCGGCGGGCACCGGGAGTATGACCCGGGTGAATGCATCATTCCACACCTGTCACAGCTCAGCCACATCGCTTTCCACTGTCATTTTAATTACAAAGAGGCGGAGGCGTTACTGCAAGGTTTTCTAGTAGTCTGTGTGTAAACATTGTGATTGTGGGTTACTGTGCGTAAACGTGGAAAATGCCTATATGGAATTGTTCCATATGCGGTGACTCTATCACCTTTTCCTTTTGCTTATTCCCCCTTTAAGCACTTTTCCACGAAACGTCTCGGGACGTTTTTTTCCTCTTGCCCCGGCCGTGGAAGGGGGAGGAGCAAGTGGGTGGACTTTGGGAGTTAAGGGGCGTGTTTGCTATATAATACAAAACCCTCAGAAGTTTTGCCTGTCGCCTGGCTTGGGACAGCTTCTCACACATCATCTCTATAGTCTCACTAAAACTGGGAAACTAACTCACCTGCCACTTCTCCAACCAAAAACCCACCGTCTTTTAACTACAACTGCATCAGCACCGTTTGTGACTACTGCCACTGACATGGAAACGCAGCATACACACGGACTTTGCCACACCTGCAGAAGAGCGGAGAGCACCAGAATGAGGGTGAGTACACTTCTGAGAGTCCTTACATCAGGGTGCGTTATGGATAAACAAATGTCAAGTTGCAGTATTGCATTATAGTGCAAGAAGTGTGGAAAGTGCGCAATGGTAGTATCTTTGCGCACAGTTGCCACTCTATGTGCATGCATTTAAGTTTGAGATGCATTTTGGCATAGACAGTTGCGCTAGGCATGAAGGATCTGTGCAACAAGTTTGGGCGCAGAGTTACAGCTGAAGGAGTTTTGGAGATATGTTTGTGCGCCTCTTGTCCGGACTGCCCCGAGCGCTGGACTCCAGAGCTAACAGCTGGTGTTTGTGCCGGCAGATAGGGGGCGGTAGTTCTGAGGGTCAGTGAGCTCACTAACAGGGTGAGCAAGGGGAAAATATATGCTGAGTCTGGGCTTTCAACATAGTTAACTATCGAGCAGCCGCCGGTCTTGGAGTTGTGTAAGCGCATAAAAACGAGAAAGACTTTAAGATTTTCTTTCTTTCTTAAGAAAAAAGCACTTCTCAGGTGCGACAATAACACTGAGCAGGAATGCATGGTTGGCATCTTTATCGCACGACTTAAGCTGTTTTTGACTTAGTAGGTCAGTAGCTTTACTACACACAGTTTCATCATTGTGAATACGCTGGAGGATGTCTTTTATGTGCAACATTTTTCTGTGGATTTTGCTTCACAATGCAATTCGTGTTTTTGTGTGCAGGTCAAGAAGATGTCTTCATCTAGTCGCGCGCTGCTGTTTGCGTTGGCCCTGACGCTGTACGTAGTGGAAATGGCCTCGGCCGAGACGCTGTGTGGGGGAGAGCTGGTGGATGCGCTGCAATTCGTCTGTGAAGACAGGGGCTTCTATTTCAGTAAGTTTCAATACACAACATCAAGATTGAATCACCATTTATCCTTCCCCAGAGTTCCATCTCTCCCTCGCATCTGTTTGGAAAGCTGACATTTTGTTATCCGTTTTGAGATTTTAGCCAGCTGAGATCCAGAGCTGGCTTTCTGTGCTGAGTGTGCGCATTCTAGCTCAGAGCCATAGTATAGTCTCCTTGCATATGAAAGGGCCGGCGAGTTGTGAAGGCACAAGACACAATGGGCTGCTTGTTTACCAGTAAAGTAATAGCACCCCAAGAGGCATACCACCTCAGCACCACTGTTCCCAGGCCCCACAGTGACGAGTCTGGAGGAGGCTTTTTAATGCATGAGTTCTGATCACAGCAGACTACATGTTATTTGAACGTGGCAGTGGTTAATCCTGACACTATAAGCTTGTGTTTGCAGTGTGCCACTGTTAGTGTCATGCACCACTTTATCTCTCCCATATATTCTTACAAATAAGTAATTACTACTGACTGACAGCTTCTTTGTGTCCTGTTAAACCTCTAAGCTTCCCTCCAATCACAATGATCATTATCCAATTTGGCTCAACAGATCGCCTGCCTATGCCCCCTCCCTCCTCTCTCTCTGCTCTCCCTTTTCTTTCCCTCGATCTCACTTATGTTCCTCTTCCTGCAATCAAATCTAGGCTGGCCTCTCATGAGACTTTGCCAACATTGTGTGCGGCGCTGGACTTCAAACAAGGCTCTTTATTGATTGTGGATAATGTTCCCCAGTGCAACATGCTAACACTCCTCCACCCCCTCTTCTTATTCTTCTCCACCTTTTCTCTCATGGCTCTTACTGTCTTTGTTTAGTGTGCTTGCTGGTCTTATTCAGCCTCACACCCTGTAGGCCTCCCTTCGCTGCCACTGATCCCTTTCTTCTGTGTCTCTCATGTGCTCATCTCTTTATCTGTGCTGAGTTGACAAAGCACAAGGTCACACTGGAGTTTCCATTTTATGTTTGAGCTCACCTACGTGCCCAGTCTAACCGTCTAGTTGACTTTTATAGTGGATGTTTACTCTTTCATTCACTTATTAAATCACTTGCAGATAGTCCTAATCAGATTATCCCATACAAACAAAACAATTTGTTTTCATAGATATCTGTTTATCCTCTTTATTCTGCTTATGATTGACAAAGTAATCCAGTGAAAAACAACCCAGATCCATGTCCATAGTTGTGTTGCCTGACTTTTTTACATACATATACAGTATATACATTTACATTTATACAGTTATTCCTTATTTGACCAGTCAATGTATTTCTACCATTTATAGTTTTGCATTATCATTTATATTCTTGTTGTTCTTTGTTATTATAATATATTGTGATGTGTGAGCTACTGTGTCCACATAATTTCCCTTGTGGATCAATGAGGTTTGTCTAAGTCTAAACCTGATCTCTGTCTTGTTCACAGGTCGGCCCACGAGTAGGTTTAATAATCGGCGTGGTCAGCACCGAGGGATCGTAGAGGAGTGCTGCTTTCGTAGCTGTGATCTGGCCCTGCTGGAGCAGTACTGTGCCAAACCCGCCAAGTCAGAGAGGGACGTGTCCGCTACCTCTCTGGTCATCCCCATGATCCCACTAAAACAGGTACGTTATCAGCCGGGCACCCCTATGGGAACAGTCTGTGCCCATGTGCTGTGTCACCCCTATGTCCCACTGCTGAACGCACGCAAACACCGGTTTATCTCACCAAAGGGTCAATAGTAAGCACTTAGCTTCTTCCATAAACGCTGATGGCTGTGGAAAAATGCCAGAGCAGTGTCATATTCACTGTTCTAGAGACCAACTGCTGGTCCATAACAAAACACTGTTTTCTGAGAGTCACGAAACAATTTACTTGGAAAATATCACAAATATGTTTCACCTATTGTTGTCATGGCTTGGAGCCAGACATGTACTATGCATGACTGGCTGAGCTGTTCAAGATTCTCAAAAATGTTTAATGAAATAGTTTAGAAGCAAGTCATAAACAGTGTGTGTGCCAGGGACTAAGTCAGGACATGTTCCTAGTTGGAGTGGGAAGGAGACTAGATGGGTACAAGCTGCTCCCAGGCCAGCTGTTCTCTGGCTATTGAGCAGGCCTGAGCTCAAAGAGGGGGATAAACACTCTTCAAGTGGCAGCACCAAAACAACCATTCACATGGAGCACTGACTACTTTTGCATTCCATCCAGCTTTGCCGCTATCAGTGCAGCAAGAGCAGCTCTGAGCTTCAGCGCTACATTCAAATGTGTGGTTTTGGTTGACAAGGGTGTCATCTCATATGTATATGAGCCAGGTGACTGGGCATCTCTTTTATTGTATGTTAAAGAGGCTTAAGTATGCAGCTGTTGACAGCTTCTCTCACCCAGAAAAGTCAAAACAAGGCTAAGTCAGTGTTATTTTGCTTAGCACTCATTTCCATTCGACTGCCCTATTAATGGCAAACAAACAAGGCATATCCAGTTAGTGACAAATATTCAAACAGTGTCTTATCTCAGCAAATGAACTCACTCCCTTTCTTTCCTCTTTCCTCTATGTTGTTGTTGCCTGTACGCCACAATAGGAAGTCCCAAGGAAGCAGCATGTGACCACCAAGTATTCCAAATACGAGGTGTGGCAGAGGAAGGCGGCGCAGCGGCTCCGGAGAGGAGTCCCCGGGATCCTGAGGGCCCGGAAGTTTCGGAGGCAGGCGGAGATGATCAAGGCCCAGGAGCAGGCCATCTTCCACAGGCCTCTGATCAGCCTGCCCAGCAAACTGCCTCCAGTCTCGCTCACCACGGACAGCTATGTCAGCCACAAATGAGCCCGCTGCTGCCCTTTGCACAGACAAGAGTTGGATGGAGAAAAAAAGACTAGGGGATTATAGCTTTGTCTCTGACGTCATTTCTGTGGCAGTCCTCTTTGACCTCCCCTGCCCTGTCCGAGCCCACCATCCCTCCCCCTGCTCTCATCCAATACTGTTTCTACTGCGACCCCCCCCCAGAGAGACCCCCACCCCAATGCACAGACTCCACATTCTTCCTGTCTCAACTCTTTCGGCTCCCCCCTCTCTTTAGTCACTCACACAAAAGCCACCACAACCACAAGTGATGGACAAAAGTTCACATTTTGACTGAATGCGATTCAGGTGGATCCTTGAGGAACGCCAAAAGGGAAGGGAGAAACCTGATGAAAGAGATCAATGGTCTGGCCGTGTTGAGAGGACACACACACAGCGGACTGTTTTTTGGCCTTGTGGAAGACGACTGAAAGTGAAGTGCAGATTGCATGAGAGAACCATTCCACATTCCTGAGGCGAAAAGAAAGCCCCTCATAGTTCTTCTTCTTATTAGTTTGCACCTCTACCTATAAAGGGACATCCACACTGTAAGGAATTATTTTGTAAAATTAGATTCCTGCTCCAGCACCTTTTGATCACAAACAAAAAGCAGAAGAGAAGAGTCTGCAAAATTGCACATTGCCACGGATTACGTCAAAGTAAAGAAAAAATGGCACTATTTTTTTATGAACAATGGACGTGTAGCTTAAATAATGTCATGGTGCTAGCTTTGGGAAACAGACTCAAAGAAGAGGATGAAGCACGTTTTTTTTCGTTGAATGAATATTAATACTTTCCGTTTTAAGGAAAGTGTGACTGTTAAACAAATTAGAGGAAAATAAAAGGATATAAAAGGGGGAGCTCCCGGCAGTGGCAATGTCAAGGGGGACTGAGACTTTGGACAGGAGCAGTGGGCTGTGTTGAGTGTGATTGGCTGCTCTGATCGCGGAGGGGGACACTGGACTGGCGCTCTGTCCCCCCGGCCCCAGCTGGACACGGGGCACAGCGCGGGGACATATGAGACTCCATGGACAGCCCGGGTTGGGACAGTACTTCTGGGACAGTACTTCCTGGTTGCCATGGCTCCGTGGACTGCTTGGAAAAGGAAATAACATGGCAATGGATGGAGAATGAGTGGGATAATAATGAATTTATTTTATTTTTTGTCTTTATTTTTCTGTTTTCTTTCATATCAATGTTTCAGATGAAAAAAGGATAAACCCAGTCAGTTTCTGGTACAGTGACATTCCTGTTTTTCAGTTAGGCATTTTTGTTTTGTTATATGGTTATTGTTATTATGTTACTTTACAGTTTTAAAAGAAAGGCACAAAATCTTGATTCAAAGGGAAAAAACAGCAATAATGTCAACTAACATTTTATTTTTATTGTATATCAGTAGTATTCACATGCTTTTGCCTGAAAACAAATACTTGAATATATATATATACATCTATATATATATATAAAATATATATATAAATATAGATATACGATTAGTTTCCAGGGACATTGTGTTATTTTCCTTTAGTCTGAGCTGTACCTTGCGTAATGAGCCGCCAAGCTTTTTTGTTTGTTTGTTGAAATACAAATAAGGGCACTGTATAAAGGCATTATTTATTTTGTTATAAAGTATATTTGAAAAAATTGGTCCAAATAATATACGTAGCACTGATGCTCAACTGACGGATTTATTTTATATGATCGCTGTTCCAATTGGAGTTGTAAGGCTTTTTTTGTAGATGCTTTGTACCAAAAATAATGTCTTTTAATTTCCTCTTCTTTTCGTTCGCCATAGTTACGTTAAATTAATATTTGAACAGCAGCTTCGTCGGGTCTGCTTAGGCATGTCATGTCACAAAAATAGGCACATACTTAGAACAAGATGGTCTGCATGGACTTCCAGAAGCCAGTCAGGGCGCTCACCCTTAAGTGACTTTACAATGGAAGGAATATCTGCTCATTGATTGTACTCTACCCACTATGTTTTAAAGCCACTTTAGTATTTATGGCTGGAGAATGATCAGTCCTACATTAAATTGTGTTGTTTTATACCATTTCCTGTTTGTGCATTCTGACCTAAGGAAGCTTTCAGATGTGATTCTGGGGCAGTTGTCCACAATAGTCCTTTTAAAACAATGCCCCTGTATTTGCATAGTGAAACATGGCAGAGTGAGATGGTTTCACATTTGCTTCTCGTTATAATGTCCTATAATACTGCTCCATCCATTATGCATTGATGAAGGGCTATCTCGCTAAACCTCTTCTGAAGCACTCAGGATCATGTGAGCTCTGTGATTGGCTGAGCCCGGGTCCTGCTGTGTGGATGTGGGGAGGGCAGCTGAGCCACAATGATACAGCTCTTTATGACAGCAAAAACCACTAAAGCCCGTGTAGATGATTCTTTCTTATGTCATGCCCACCTGGCACAAGCCACCACTCTGATCTGAACCCAGCATCTCAAGACTGCGTCCTGTCTTTAATTATATTCTGCTTCAGTTGTGCAACAAAGCAGGCAGTGCAATTACTATTTTTATTATTATATTAATATTATTATTATTATATTTTCTATTTTATTGGACATTTTCCTGCTAGGACTGCATTCATCCACTATTGTAAAGATCAAAAGGTTACTCTAGTGTTCTTATGAATGGCGTGTATGACAACCACTTCTCTTTTCGCTGAATATGAAGATTTGAAATACCTTTGCCAAGCAAATGGCAACAGTTTCTGTGTCAGTAGCTCACTCAGCCTGTGTGTATTTTATTAATTTAACCTCTGCACGCTAAAAACGTCCGAAATGCACAATTCATGTACTTTCATTTTTAATATCAATAAAAAAACATTTTATCAAACGGATATTGTCTGTGAGGCCTTGTTTTCGACAGTGTGCGTTCGTACTTTTTGACATAGTTTTATTTAAATTTCAATGTACCCTGTAAATGATTTATTGCATCTTAAGAATCTCCAGCTGCTTTCACCAGCCTCTACTCTGCCCCCCTCCCTCGTTCCTCTCCTCCATCGCTGCTGTCTCTGTCCGTCTTGGGCCGCGTTTCATTTCTCTTTCCTCGCTTCCTTATCCTTGATTCCTCTCCCCGATTCTGCAGGAAGTGGGTGAGGAAGTCCCACCCGCAGAGGAGAGAGGATATAAACTCCTCAATAAATTTTAATCATTTTATCTGACGTCTGACAGTGAAGCCTCCCCCATGTTTACTCCATCATCCCGCGGTTGACTTTGGGACACCGCTTAATATGACACGTTTGATTGACAGCTGAAAAGTGGATGATCGAGGAGAGGAATCAAGGAGAAGGAAGGGAGGAAACAGAAATAGGACGCGGTCATATTCTGTCTACTTCCTGCTTTTTGATAGGGCGACGAGTGCAAAACATAGCACTCAAAAGCAGGCACGCCACAAACCCTTTCCAATACTTTTCCGAGACCTGACCTGTTCTGTTTCCTGACACACCCTTCCTTCCATCCTCGCTCAACTGAGGCAAGCGTCCACTCCGGGGCTAACTATAGCAACCATCATGTCTCAAATTATCACATGCATGGTCCCAAAATGGCACAACCTTTTTATTGTTGACATGCATGCATATAGCCACCCATGGGAATGTCTGTTACCGGGTAGATTTTCAGAACGGGAGCGTTTCTTTAGAGTTTGACGTTGGCTGGTATGAAATAGCTGAGTGTTGAACCAGTTAGGCTGTCATCGCTCTGCCTGGAATGTTCCACAGTATGACATTAAGCAGCTCTAACTTACATTTATTCAATTACGTGTGGTTTTATAGCTCAAAAATAACCAGAAAAACAGACATTCTGACTGTGAGCGAGGTCGCCTCTCCACAGAAGTGACCTGTAACTTGGTCTGGTTTGGTCTCCTTGAAGATAGAAAGGTTTAAAGCCGCACTGTGAAACATTCCAGACAAAGCAATAACAACTCCATAGATAAATAAACATAAATAAATGATAATATTGAAACTAAATTATGAAGCTGACCTACTAACCCTGAAGCAGAAAACCCTCTCAAAGACTATTTCAGATCTACAATATTGTTAAAAAATCAAAAACTGCAGTAAATAAACAGCAGCATAAAAGACTTAAGTATTTAGTTTGTATCTATAATGAGTCATAGATGTGATTTATTCAACTTTTTACGGCTTAAATCTTATCATATAGTCAAAAAAAAATAGCAAAAAATGCTAAGAAAATGTACACGATAAATACTGAAACCCAAAGAATATTGTTCCAACTTTCATATACTTAAAGGTGCACTGTGTAACTTTTCTGGAACCTGTTTGTCTCCATGGAGATGTTAAAGCTTTGGTTTAAATTGTCCACAGTATTGCTTTAAACTAATCTGTCTTACATTTATTCAACTACAGGTGTTATTTATTGCTCAAAAATATCTTAAAAAACATAAATCCTTGTTGTGAGTGGGGTTGCCTCTCCACAGATCTAAACTGTAATCTGGTTTGCAAGTCTCCATGGCAGAGGTGGGACCAAGTCATCATTTTGCAAGTCTCAAGTAAGTCTCAAGTCTTTGATCCCAAGTCCGAGTCAAGTCCCAAGTCAAATCCAGGCAAGTCCAAGTCGAGTCTCAAGTCACTGGCCCATAAGTCCAAGTCAAGTCCAAGTCGTCTGCTTTGATCTTAAAGTCATTTCAAGTCTTTAAACTAAAGTAGCTTAGATTTTTGCAATTTATATTAATTTTAAGATAAATTGTACTTAAAAAGTCATGGTATATTTATATATTTAGTATTTATATAGTTGTAGAAATGCAAATTTGTCCTTTTTAAATGTCTTGTCAAGATCTTAGTGTGAATCATTATGATAAGTTCTTAATATTATTTTGTTATTATTTTAATGTTATTTTGTCATGTAGTTTGCACTGAGATGGAAGAATCATGTTCTATGTAGTTCCCGCTGTTTTACTGCATTGTACTGTATATTACTGTAGTACATTTGAGTATTTGAGATTTTTTTTTGTATATGTGTATTTATAGAGAATATAAGAGTTGTAGAAAATAATTTAGTAAGTTTTATCTTTTTAAATGTCTTGACAAGATCTTAGAGTGAATCATTACAGCCAGAATAGAAAGAATTCAGATTTAAAAGTGCTTCTCAAGTTACAGGCCTCAAGTCCGAGTCAAGTCCCAAGTCACTGACCTTCAAGTCCAAGTCGAGTCCCAAGTCGTAGTCCATTTCATCAAGTCAAGTCTCAAGTCCTCAAAATAGTGACTCAAATCTGACTCGAGTAAAAAATCACGACTTCCATGGAGATTCTTAAATTCATGGCCGTACTGTGGAACATTCCGGGCTCATCTCCATGGAGACAAGCAGGTGACGGACCCTCCAGCAGACAAGTTACACAGCGCACCTTGAACTTACGTTATATAGTCGATATAATAATGACTATGACAGGCCTAGTGCGGGTTTATTTCTCTATGGCCACACAGGAGATCCAGACTCGTAAATCCTTCAATGAAATCTCCTTTGGCCGTCTGTTATAACATTGCCTTATTTAGAAATGAAATGTGCCAGGCTGCCCTCAATGCACTGGAAGTTCAAAGTGCTGAAAAACGCGTAGCCAGGCAAGTTCCGGTTGGCATAATATTAAAGGTTGAGCAGGTTCAGACACATTATTACGCAAACTTAACTCACTCATTACAATATTTCCTCGTTTCACAATTCATTACTTTCATTGCCAAACTTCTGCTTCTTGTCAGTTCTAGTTAAACTCTCATCAGCTGAACTCTGCTCCTGCCTGGACGTGCTCCTGTCTTTCATAGTTGTACTTCATTGACCAGCCAGTCCCTTCTGCAATCTGTTTGAACCCAGAAGGGACTGAAACTGGACCATAGAAAGTGAAAATCCTACATACAAATACTGCTCCTAATATCCATAATATCCATAATCTGTGACAATGTGTGTATACTCATTTGTTTAAAAGGTCTTACACTAAAAAAAACAACAACAATATCTAGCTAAAATAAAATGACTTAAATTAAGAACATTTTACTTTATTTGAGTTGATTCAGCTTGACAAGTAAAAGTATCTACAAATGGAATAAGTGTGTCCTTTTTTCCATTCAAGCAACATTAGATTTAGTTTTTTTATTTTACGTGCAAAAAGCTGTTGTTTTTTTTTTGTTCTATTTTAAGTGCAGCAAGATGCATTTTCATATTTTAAGTACAAAAAGTCTTGTTCTACTGGCAGATTATTTTACTCGTCAAGTGAAATTTACCGTATTTTCCGGGCTATTAGGTGCTCTAGATTATAAGGCGCACTGTCATTAAATGGTCTATTTTTAAACTTTTTTCACAAATAAACCGCATTGGACTTTAAACGAAACACAACAGTTGGATGGGTCAGTCGGACTTTGTTTGGCGCGTTCACGGTGACTCTGGGTTTTGTTCAGTTGTGGCGTGTAGGGAGGGTGCTGTCTGGGACCGCTGGATTGTCGGCGTGTTCGCAGTGACTCAGTTGTTCAGTTTTGTCTAGAAGTGGCACATTGCACTCACCTTTTTCGGTTCGTTCCTCCGTTTCATTCCTCGTCGGCGTGGAGTGATGAGTGTGGCTGCGGGTGTTTTTCACTGCGCTGTCGCTGTCTGCTCCGTGTGTGTTTGCGTGCGCTGCGGGTGGTGCGGCTTTGTAGTTTACTGAAGTTGTGCTGGGACACCCGAGTGGATTCGTGTATAGGGCGCTTTGGACTGCGGGGCGCGTGGTCGTTTTTTGATAGGGTTAGAGGCTTAAGACCGCGTCTAATAGCCCGGAAAATACGGTACTCAAATCATGATAAAACTTTCTTAATTCAAGTCAATTTTAATTTGGCTAGACTTTGTTTTTTGCCGTGTATATTAGATGTTATGACCCAGCTCGGATAGGTTCAAGGAGGTAACACAAAACCAAGATGTAAAATAAAATAGCACTTAAAATCCTTTAATTTTCTCAAAAAACAACAGTGCGCCTTCTAATCCAGTGTGCCTTATGCATGAAAATAGATGAGAGAATTCAAGAGTATTGATATTGCGCTTTATAATCCGGTGTGCTTTATCGTCCAAACAAATACTGAAGTAATTTAATAAACAGGAATGTAAAAGGTAAAATAACAAAAGAGGTCTAAAATATACACAAAAATCTGTCAAAACAACAAAGAAGAATTTACACAAAGCCAAATAATTGTCCATAAAATAACTAAATGAATAATAAAACCACAAAACTACAAGAGCCTCAAAAACGAACGAGTCACACAAGTCCACAAACAGAATCGAATGACCTATTATAATGAGAATCACACACACAAAGTCAAAGTGACTGACAAACGAGAGACACATATGAAAGACAGAGCAGGTGCAGACAGTCTCCTTAAGCAGAGGGAGGAGGCTTCAGGTGAGGCGGGCTTGGTCAGGTGTGAAGGTGCTCCACAAATAGGCTCTATTCACTCTTACATCACAAACCAGGAAGACGTTTGGAAAGATGCAATTACAACTTCCCAGGTCTGGTTTTCTAGCCAAGCTGGCGCCACTTAGTACCTCCACTCAATTTCATTTCTCTCCAGCGACTAGGTCAGGAATCGGAATACACTAGATGGTTTACAAGAACCCTGGAAATGCGAGTTCGAGCACCAGCCAATCAGCGAAGAGCCATACATTCTGTGTTGGCAACGGAACAAAGAAAATGTTTGGTGAATTTTATCAAGGGGAAAGACGTTATTGGCCTTCTTCCTACGGGATTTGGGAAAAGCTTAATATAGCAGTTAGCCCCGTCACCATCTGATGAATCAGGCTACCAGTTTTCTTCATCTCCATGTCACTGTCGCGTTCTTTTATGTTCGGCTAATCAACAATTACAACC